ATACCTTTAACCTTTGTGTTGGAACTGTGTAATAGACATCGACACCGACACCGACACCGACATCGACATCGACACTGACACCGACACCGACACCGACACAATGTCCCTGGATTCCACGTTCAGGAGTTGTGCGGTAGTTGAAATTGTATTTGTAAGAAAATCAAGTGTGGACCAGACAACCCAGTGATTGACACCAGGAGCATCAATCCACGTAATTGAGAGAGGTGACCTGCAAATCAACCAAGCCACTGGGCCTGACCATTCAGTCTCATCTTACGACAAGCACAGGTTGATTGGGGCCAGTTTAAACCCGGAATGCCCAGGGAGTCTCCTTCATCGTGCTCGTACAGCGGGGGAGGTTGTTCATTATGTTGACCACTGGTTTATTGGATTAAGACTTTATTCATATAATTTTCATCACTCTTTTGCCTCTAATCCCAATGGAATCTGCTTCGGAATCGATACTAATTATTCTCTGGCAATAAAGTTTTATATATTAACACATATCCCTCCATCCCCTCTAACTGAAACTGAGAAAAAAACGAATTTTCACGAACGCCAAGTTAATAGCGTTTTCAATTCCGATCCACGATGAAGATGCTGTTTATTTTCACTGTATGACAGAACTGTTATTTATTGAATTTAACGGAAAAGTAGATTTTGTCGGATGGGAAACTTTCTAACTTTTTAACCCTCATACTGAGGAAATCAGATTATAAACCAACGTCGAACTTTTGAACTGCCCCCTCGTGGAAACCAGATACACTCTCCTTCATTCGCTCTTAAGGATGTTGGCATGAGGACCAACTACTTCAGACTCGCGACCTACATGAGTATTTAAGATGTTGCAACGCATTGTGCAATGCTTGTATTGCACCATGTTGAGACATAAGTATTATTTTTTTCTATATTTGATAGGAATTCCTGTCCGGATTGGCAAAATCAAAACAAACCGCAGGTATCTCGTTTATCTGATATCGTTTAATCTGAACAAGCAATAAAACACACCACTGAAACTCCTATATAGATCTCGGAAGTAAGAAGTGCGTCTATCTTGTATATTTTTTCAGCGGGTTAGAATAGGTCCCCAGCAACCTATGCTTGTCATACTAAGCGACTCTTGCTCAGATGTTGTTTGATCAAGGTTACAACATTCAAGGCCTCAGTAAAGCTTTAGAAGGTTTTATGGTGGACATATGGAGGACATTTCCAAAGTTAAGGCATCAGTGACAAACATGTTGTCCGATACAATTTCCTATTTTGACTTGTACGATAATCCCGTATTTTTTCAGGTGAACAATTGACTTGTCTCTGCGTGTATTTGTGTCAGATTACACCGATGGGGCAGGGTATGCTCACCTTCTCGCGCATACCTGGTATCATCGCTATATGATAGCTAGTCATAAACACATGCTCACGATATAGCCGGAATCGTACTGTCGACTCTGCTTTATGTAGAGATTTCTGTTGGATATGGAAAGAATTTTGTCGCTATATTTAATGGATCGCTAGTCAGATTGGGCGTTTCTGACAGTGTCAATGGTTTTTCTCCTACATACCCCTGCCTTTTGGCGGGAATATAGTTGAGAACGACGTTAAACATCACACAATTAACCAAACAAACAAATATATCCCGTTTCAGTAAAGCCACCCGAGACATACATTATTTGGAATAGAACCTGGGTCTTCGTCTTGACGTGCCACCCAAAAACATATAACTGACATGGAAGTCGGGCGATTTCATTATGATTTATATTTTTTTCTGTGTCGTTGTACTCGGTAACCGACCGCGTAAAGAACTCGACACGTTCAAAGTAGTTACATCTTAACACTTCATTTACTAAAATTATATTATTGATTATGTTATATAATTAAACTTAATAGTAAGCGAATGCAGGTGATCTGTACGATATCATTCCCAGTGATATCAACATACTAATGCCCTTTATATGTGGACGTTATTAACGGTAATCAACCAATGTTGTGACTCCCAGGACGGTTCCACTGGACTTCATCAAGAGTTTATACAGCTCCCAGAGTACAGACATCCACTGGTCGTCACTACCAGGTGATTACGATTCACACCTTGAAAACATTCTATTGATGTCCTGTGTTGATTTTCACGAGCTCCATGCAAATTAGAAAATTTACCAAACCATTTATCCTTAAATACTCCAAATATTCAGTTGAAAATGTATTTTGTCAAGAGTTGTGAACCAGTAAACATAAAGGCTCGAGTTCACTGCCAAGGCCGCTGTTACTATAATTGGAAGCAATGAACGCGACCCCCTCATGAATAATACATATGGCGCCTTTTAAAAATCTATTTCCGATGGGAAGGCTCAGCTCAATTCAAAGGTAAATGTTTTGAGAACAAGATATATAACATGTCCACGACATTCCGTATGTCCACTGTGATGGTGCTGTGACGGTGTGTGCAGGATCAGCATCGGGGTGTGGTAGATGATTATGAAGGTGCAAATCGCAGTTACATACGTACACTATTTTAACATCAAATAGACAGATGCAGAGGGAAGAACATTTTTAGAGTAAATACGGAGAGTGAGTGAGTGAGTGAGTGAGAGAGACCGACAAATATTTTATTAAATGTGTCATATATGTAAATTATTTAAATGAGTCACTCACGTCGGGTGAGGATGTGATAACTATGTTAATATCAACACATATCAACCCAAGATATCATTTTTATAAGGCGCTTGTTAATTTAGACTTTGGTTCAGTAACACGCGAAGCATGTGACGGTATTTATCTAAGTTATGTAAAATGTGCGTGCTTAACTTCAATTCATTGTGATATACAATATGGGTGCATGGCGTGGCATTTGCAAAAGCCCCATGGGATTTCCTGGTCACCAGTAGCCTTTACTCCCGTAAGAGTGAGTGAGTTGGGTTTAACGCCGCTTTTAACAGTATTCCAGTTATATCGCGGCGTGTCAGCTTAATGTGGGAGGAAGGCCCGAAGTGATGCAGGTCTCAGACGTTTACCACTTCGGTGAAACCCACGAGCACGGGCATGGTGCAGACAAACTTAGAAACATAATCGGTGCGAACCGAGATTGGAACCCACAATCATAGGTTTCTGGCGCGCCCAAGGGACGCAACTCTGCACAGCGAATCGCGGCGCCTAAGACGACTGGGCCACCCGTGCCCCTACTGGTCGTAAGAAGCGACTAAATGCATGTGTAATCAGGCTTTGGGTTTGTTGACGAGTCAAGGTACCCCAACGACGTGGATCGTTGCTCACAGTATTTTCACTGTATTGTCTGGGGAATTTAATATTGCTGAGTTCGGTGTTAAACAAAAAACACACGCACGCACAAAAACACACATGAATAATATATATTATTATGGTCAATTTAAAGATATCGTGACACTTTTAACGCTTCGACATCCACAAATTGGTATTGGGTGAGTCACTCAGATGACCTTCGTGACAGGCAATACTCATGTGTTAATTGCAGGAAACAGCCATAAGTGGTCGGACTATGGTGATCTGTTAGGCAATATTAACTATAGGTCATTTGAGTGTGTCTCGTTGGTTTTATATTTGAACATCGGCCACACAAGCCATGTTAGCGAGTCTGTAACATTGTTTTGCTTCTTCGTACGTTGTGAAGCAGCTAACACACATTTTAAAGAAATGTTTATATATGAATTATGCAGTAATTAATTACATTAATTGAATATATATTTTACTCTTCGTGTACCAAGTTTGTTTCTTAAATCTGTGAAGTTCATCTCACTCTCTTACTCTATCGTGGAAACCTAGATACATAATCGGGGCGAACCGGGATTCCAACCCACAATCATAGGTTTCTGGCGTTCCCAAGGGAGGCAACTTTGCACAGCGAATCTATATATATGAGGATCCGAGTAGGTCCTTGTGCCTCATGGTGTCAGTTCAGAACTGGTTAATGAAGATCGCATGCTACCAGGAGAGCAGAACACCCTTTTCGCGAACACTTGGTGTCATCACTCATTTTTGCCAACCCAATCATTTTGCCCTTTTACGCCCATTGGAATGTGTTTCGGCAGACATTGGTGACTGGTTGTTCTCTTGTGCTGACGTTTTATATTTATGTGTGTGTGATCTGTTTGATTGACCGTCATGGTAGATCGGTGCTCTATCACTGGCTGCTAAAAAGCCGATAAAGCTGGAACATTGATGTTTGTGGCTTAATTAGCTATTGTTTACATCGGACTTTTACTGAGGACTTCTTACGTTCCTGCTTGCTGTTTATCAGCGAGTTAAGATTAAACGTCAAATCGGCATTATTTCAGCCTTATCAGCTTATCGGGTGATAGATTTAACATGATAAACTTTTACATTTTAATTTTAATTTATAAATTGCAGTATCCCCGTGAGGACTCCCTGGTTAAATATGTTCCAAGCATTCTGGCGTTGTCATAAGAGGTTACTGCGGTCATGCAGCTGGAATATTGCTGAGCATGGTTGAAACAACCAAAAAAACAAAAAAACGTTGTTCACAATAAGCATCAACCGCTGGTCCCAAACTCGACCATTAAAACAAGTCGCAGTGATGTCGCTTGAACATTGCTAACTGTGGCGTTAAAGAACATTTGCTCCAGAGCCGAGTGAACCCGAATTACTCAAGTTGGTGTATATATTTGCCTTGTTAGGCAATCACTTATGTATTCTTGCCGGGAATAAGCCTTTCCTCGGCGTATTTGTAACAAATGAACTTTCCGTGTGTCACCGTAACTGTCAAGTACTTGTCAAAATTGGACAGTTAAGCGTTCATAAATCTTCTGATATGATGTTTTGTGAATCCGTCTTGACAGGTATCCCGGTTCATAATGAAGGGTGCGGTGCACACATTTTTCATCGACGATTCCAACATTAGCGTCAACACAACACTTCCGTGTAATTGGCATGGCCCTTATAGTCTCCCGTACAAAACTCAACTTGGATTGTTCCATGAAACGACAGTGATCCTGTGCAGAGGTCTTTAATCTATTATTAGCTTTTCGTAAGCTTGACACATGCTATATAGACAGATGTAACCCTTTTACTTTAGTCACAAGCCGACAACGATGTTTTGCCTCTGCAGCTTTGCAGCGGTTCTTGTTTTCCTCGGGGTGTGCGCGGGGCAGGCGCCATCTACAACAGGAACGGGTAAGCTACTTTGTACAGTGCATCAGTAGCTTTTCTTGTACCCTTCAGGTGTATTTTTATTTAGGGGTCATGGGTGGCCCAGTCGTCGAAGGCGCTGCAATAGGCTGTGTAGAGTTGCGTCCCTTAGACATGCCAGGCACCTATGATCCAGATTATATCTTCAGGTTTGCGACCAGTGAAGATCCGGGGTAGAATAGGTCTTCAGCAACCCATGCTTGCTGTAAAAGGCGACTATGCTTGTCGTAAAAAGTGACTAACGGGATCGGGTGGTCAGGCTCGCTGACTGGGTTGATGCATGTCATCGATCCCAACTGCGTAGATGGATGCTCATGATGTTTATCACTGGATTGTCTGGCCCCGACTCGATTATTTTCAGACCGCCGCCATATAGCTGGAATATTGCTGAGTGCGGCGTTAAACAACAAACTTACAGACCATCTTCAGGTTTGCCAGCACGATACCGGTGCTCGTGGATTTCACCAATACGGTTCATTTATTCTTTCATATTTCGATCACTAGGACGCCGTTTTTATTCATGCTTAAAATAAAACCAAACAAGGAATAGAAACTGAAGTTTTGTTAATTTGTAATTTTATCATCAAATGCTTAAATACTTTAGCTTAAAAAAACTGATTATCTATTTTGCCGAACGAATGTGTACCTTTTCACATGGTCCAGGATGACTGAACAATTTCGGATGAGGTTCCGCAGTAGGACTGTATCCCCAAACTGACTCAATACAAATTACAAATCACAAAACTGCACAATTAGAAACCAAATGCTTCACTGAACAGCACCGACAAGCAACGAGTGCTGTTTGATGTTATTGTTTTTGACGCTGCGAAAAGGTAGCGGTCGCCGCTGGTCGATGCTGGGGACGTTGTCTCCACAGTTACAACAAAACTGACCTCAGGTAACTTCCGGTATACACAACTAAACCCAGGTAACTTCCGGTATACATAACTAACCCCAGGTAACTTCCGGTATACATAACTAACCCCAGGTAACTTCCGGTATACATAACTAACCCCAGGTAACTTTCGGTATACACAACAAACCCCAGGTAACTTCTTGTATACACAAATGACCCCTGGTAACTTCCCGCATACACAACTTACACAGATAGCTTCCGGTATACACAATCGACCCCAGGTTACTTCCGGTATGCACAACTTAAACTAGGTAACTTCCGGTATACACAACTAACACCAGGTAACTTCCGGTATACACAACTTACACCAGGTAATTCCGGTTTACACACCTTACACCAGGTAACTTCCGGTATACACAACCGACCCCATGTCTCATATATATATATATATGTATATATATATATATATCTTTCCAAGTACACAGCTGACACCAGGCATATTTCTGCATGTACAGCTGCACTAAGTTCCAATCTGAAAGCGAAGCTGACACCAGGTACTTTTCCGCATACAGAAATGACACCTGTGCCTTTTTCTGAATACTGACCCCAACTTCCTTTTATATACACAACTGACCCAGGTACATGTATGTATACACAACTGGCCCTAGGTACATCTCTGTATACACAACTGGCCCTCGGTACCTATGCATACACAACTGGCCCTAGGTACCTCTCTGCATACACAACTGACCCCAGGTACCTCTCTGTATACAAAACTGACCCTAGATACCTCTCTGTATACACAACTGGCCCTAGGTACCTATGTATACACAACTGGCCCCAGGTACCTCTCTGCATACACAACTGACCCTTGGCACCTCTCTGTATATACAACTGACCCTAGGCACCTCTCTGTATACACAACTGGCCCCAGGTACCTCTCTGCATACACAACTGACCCTTGGCACCTCTCTGTATATACAACTGACCCTAGGCACCTCTCTGTATACACAGCTGACCAAGGTACCTCTGTATACACAATTGACCCTTAGAACCTCTCTGTATACACAACTGACCCTTGGCACCTATCTGTATACAAAACTGACCCCAGGTACCTCTCTGTATACACAACTGACCCTAGATACCTCTCTGTATACACAACTGGCCCTATGTACATCTCTGTATACACAACTGACCCTATGTACATCTCTGTATACACAACTGGCCCTATGTACATCTCTGTATACACAACTGGCCCTATGTACATCTCTGTATACACAACTGGCCCTATGTACATCTCTGTATACACAACTGACCCCAGGTACCTCTCTGTATACACAACTGACCCTATGTACATCTCTGTATACACAACTGGCCCTATGTACATCTCTGTATACACAACTGGCCCTATGTACCTATGTTTACACAACTGGCCCTAGGTACCTCTCTGCATACACAACTGACCCTTGGCACCTCTCTGTATACACAGCTGACCAAGGTACCTCTGTATACACAATTGACCCTTTGAACCTCTCTGTATACACAACTGACCATTGACACCTCTCTGTATACACACCTGACCCTTGGCACCTCTCTGTATACACAACTGACCAAGGTACCTCTCTGTATACATAACAGACCCTAGGTACTTCTTTGTATACACAACTGACACAAGGTACCTTACTGTATACACAATTGCCCCCATGTACATTTCTGTATATTTAACTGATCCCAGGTACCTCGCTGTATACACAACTGACCCTTGGTACCTCTCTGTATACACAACTGACCCTTGGCACCTCTCTGTATACGCAACTGACCCTTGGCGCCTCGCTGTATACACAACTGACCCTTGACACCTCTCTGTATACGCAACTGACCCTTTGCGCCTCTCTGTATACACAGCTGACCAAGGTACCTCTCTGTATACACAACTGACCTCGGCACCTCTCTGTATACACAACTGACCAAGGTACCTTTCTGTATACACAACTGAGTCCAGCACCTTTTTGCATGTACAACTGATCCCAGGTACCTTTCGGTATGTACAGCTTACCCCAGGTAACATTTTGTATACACAACATCAAATGCTTTTACGTATTCACTTCCTGAACGAAATTGGTCTTTGTGATAAATTTAAAATATGTATGTGAATAATTAATTGCTTGTTTTTAATTTGTTTGTGATGCTTTTATCAACAAAGATTACCGAAGGCTCTCTCTAGGAAGTTAAGGTACCGTAAAAAAATTGTCCCCTGTGTGACACGTAATTCCTATCATAGTCGAACTATCATCAAAGTGTTTTAAGCCAACTGAGTATTTCTTAATATTGGCTAGTATTGAGCACAACCACCAGTAGGTTAAGTGATGATGTAAATGCTGCTGGCTATTCGTGCAGAAAGCAGAGGCATGATCCCATGATCCCGAGCGAGGTAGCCTAGCTTTAGTTACTGGTTGCCTATAGTCCATGTTTTAAACTGTATAAATGATATTGTTATGCCCAAATATGTTTGAAAAAAATCTTTTTAAACTTTGCATTCATGACTCACTTGTGAAAATATCAACTTTGTCTCGTCATTATATGTCTGAAATAATGCCGATATGACGTTAAACTTTAAACACCGACGCCAGACGCCAGGTACATTTCTCTTTACAGAACAGACCCAAGGTGCAATTCTGAAAACACAACAGACGCCAGGTACAATTCTGAAAACACACCAGACGCCAGGTACAATTCTGAAAACACAACAGCCCCCAGGTACAATTCTGAAAACACACCAGACGCCAGGTACAATTCTGAAAACACAACAGACCCCAGGGACAATTCTGAAAACACAACAGACCCCAAGTACATTCCTTGAAATACAACTGACCCTACTACCTTTCTTTCTGTATACACAACAGAACCGAGGTAACTTTCTGCCTGAACAAATGACTCCAGGTATCTCTCTGTAAACTCAGCTGATCACAGGTACCTTTCTGTATACAGAACTGACCCAAATTACTTTTGTGTATACACAACGGACAACAGGTACCCTTTTGTAAACACAACAGTCCCAGGTACCTTTCTGTATACACAACGGACAACAGGTACCTTTCTGTCAACAAAACAGGCCCCAGGAACCTTTCTGTATACACAACAGGCCCCAGGAACCTTTCTGTAAACACAACTGGCCCTAGATTCATTCCTGTATACACAAAACAGATCTCAGGTACATGTCTTTAAATACAACTGACCCCAAGAAACTTTCTTTCTGTGTACACAGGTACCGATGTGCATTTAATACTGATCCAAGGTACGTTTCTTCACGCACAACTGACTCCAGATATCTATCTGTATACACAATAGACCCATGGTACAATCCTGTATACACAACTGTCCCTAGGAATATGTCTGTAATCACAACTGGACCCACCTGTATACACAATTGCCCCCATGTACATTTCTGTACATAGAACTGATCCCAGGTACCTTGTTGTATACATAACTGACACGAAGTACTCTCATGTATTCGGAACTGAAAATCGAACCCAGATACATTTATGTATACAGAGCAAACCCCCGTACCTTTCTTTATGTATACACAACAGACACGAGGCAGATTTCTGTGTATACAACTGACCTCAGGTTCCATTCTGTGTACACAACTGATGCTTCTTGTTTGACCCAAACAGATGAGGAACCCATCTCGTGATGCTGATTGTCCTGCTCTAACTTTCAGACAATGTTATATATTACTGGTCGGTCCCCAACGGTTAGGATACTAAGGATCACTGCGGATTCCGACTTTGATATTTTCAGGCAGGAGTCACGACTTGGTGGTATTCTCCCAGAGGGAACTGGTGCACATCGACGTTACAACTGGTCAGTCCAATAGTTATTCTTTGCCGGGCATCTTCAGCATCAACGCCGTGGACTACGACGATGTGGACAACAGATTGTTCATCATGTCAGCCTATAGTAACATCGCTTCCTCCAACGTGGACGGCAGTAACCTCACCTACCTGCGTGATTGGACGTCAAACCCCAGTATGTACTTCACGTAACGCCCATGAGTTAACGACCCGTGGTAGATCCGGGGTAGAATAGGTCTTCAGCAACCCATACTTGCCGTAAAACGTGACTTTGCTTGTCGTAAGAGGCGACTAACGGAATCGGGTGGTCAGGCTCGCTGACTTGGTTGATGCATGTCATCGTATCCCAGTTGCGTGGATTGATGCTCATGATATCAATCACTGGATTGTCTGGTCCAGACTCGATTATTTACAGACCGCCGTCATATAGCTGGAATATTGCTGAGTGTGGCGTTAAATAACAAACAAACCCATGAGTGATGTACAGGAGTTTACGAGATGAATCATCTTGTACACAACGAGACCGAAGGTCTGTGGTGCACACGAACATTCAGCCTGTAATTAAGGGGGCCATGGATGCCGAGTCTGGTATGTCACATGTCTCATCTCTAGGCGTACATATTGAGTTCGAATCACAGTTCGCTAAGGTTATATATTTCTAGGTTTGTCAGCACCCTACCCGTACTCGTGGGTTTTACCAAAGTGGCAAACGTCTAAAACCTGCATCACTTCAAGCTTCCTCCCACATTAATCTAAAACGCCGTGATATAAATGAAAGGTGCGTACAAATCAAACTCTCTTAACTCATAAAATCACGCGTGTTTCGCTCTTGAAATGAGAAATGAGTAGGGCAAAATGACCAAATAGCTTAAATATGCTTCGACGTCACCAGCTATACTATTTGCTGTCAGATATGAGACGTCCAAACACATGGAAAACGTCGAAAGGAAAGCATGGCGTCGTGTGGGCGTCTCACAACTGACACAAGGACTCTGTATTTCAGACTCCGTGTATTCTATGTCTTTTGGCTTGCAAATGCGACAAACAATATGTACATTTCTATCTTTCTCGACTCATCTTGGTTGCTTTCTTTGATATGTCCAATTACGACTACCTGGTATATTTTCGGGGAGATATAATTCAATGATACTGTGATATTTTGTACTGGGCATACCAAAAGACACTATGGTAACACAAAGCGTCAACGGGCAGCACATCACATGATTCTCTTAGTCGCCTCTACGACAAGTAAGGGTGGTGATTCCAGGTTAAAATAGATCCCCAGCAACCCTGGGAGGTGACTTTATTGACCAGGCGCGATGACGTGATGGCGTGTCATCTGTGTGGGTCGCTGCTAATGACATCACTCATTGGATTGTTTACAAGCTGCCATCACATGGCTGGAATATTGCTGAGTTCTGCGTTAAGCTACAACTCTCCAATACAGAATCCAAATGGGATTAATCCCTATTGGGAGACGTTGTAGCATCATCAGCAGTAGCTTTAGTGTCAGTGGTGCAGTAGCTACTGTGTTGGACTTGTTGCACGACTTAAAGCGAAATGTTTTGTCAACAGAGCCTCACTCTGACTGCCTGACAGTGGCCAGTGATGCGCGACTCGTGTTCTTCGCTGGAACGGGCCGACAGGTTGTCCGAATGAGCGTTAATGGTGATCATGAGACTGTCTTAGTCAACCGTCGGAACAGGGTGCGAAGAATGGCTGTCGACCAAGCGACAAGGTAAGGGAGTGATGTTCTCAGTTATAGGTGGAACAAATATTACTTGACGGGATCACAGAGATCGTAAATCACAATAGAGTCCAAAAAAGCAGTCGTATAATGTCTTTGCTACATGTATGTTAATGTTTGGAAGGTTTTTGTTTGCTATTTAACGCAGCACTCAGCGATATTCCAGCTCTCTGAAGGCGGTCTGTAAATAATCGAGTCTGGACCAGATAATCCAGTGATTGATATCATGAGCATCAATCCGCGCAATTGGGACACAATGACATGCATCAACCAAGTCAGCGAGCCTGGCCACCCGATTCCGTTAGTCGCCTCTTAAGACAAGCATAGTCGCCTTTTACGACAGGTATGGGTTGCTGAAGACCTATTCGACCCCGGATCTTCATTTGTCGTTACCCCGTACCTTTTGGTGTTTGGGACTGGAATTTATTCGAAGCAGCCCATGCTTGTCGGGGACCGCTTGTCGTGCGAGGCGACTTGGTGGACAGAACAGTCAGGCTCGGTGACTTAGTAGATATCCTGTAGCGTGCTCATAATACACATAACTAAATCGTATGGTCCACACTGTAGTTACATGCCGCCGTTTTAAACAACAACGAACGGCCCAGCAATGTGTACGTGGGCGCACTCAGCTCAAGCTCAACGACGAAGCCCTTTAAAGAAGTAACTTGCAAGTTACATGACTCGGTCTGTATCTCTTCAGAATGGGGGCTAGTGAATACCTTTTCGTATTTTCTGTAGCTCTGCCTAAAAATAATTATCTGCAAGTCGGCTTGTAGCGGGTTCCATTCCTAGGGTTACTGTAATTATAAAGCGTTGTTAGTCAGCACAAGTACCCTTCCCATACTATTTGGCAGATGTAATGGTGTTAGCGTCGGCGACCTACGTTACGTTTGCCTCGTAATGTAACTGAAATCATATTCCTCTTTCAAAGCGACGTCCAATCAAGCTTACTCACTACAGATGAACCTAAATCGTTTATGTATGTCTCTATATCAACTCAACAGGATGGTATTCTGGTGTGAGCAAGAGCTTGACAACCACTTGTACAAGATGGGTTTTGATGGCGGACAAGTGGCGATACACAAGGACCTCCACTTCTTTGGGCCACGACCGAGGGCCATGGACTTAGTCAGTAAGTTGTCTACACCCCCGTTCAATTCCAGGCTAGAGTCGGTCCCAACGTAATGGTCTGTGTGACGTGTTGCATGCGAGCCTTTCTTATGTCAATCACAGGTTTCTCTGGTCAGGATTCGAGTATTGGATACGTTGTTAAACAACAAACAAAGAATTCCTCCACATATTATGGGAAGACCACATAGTTTTTACAAGGTATTTTACTGGATTGATGTTTCTCCATAAACCCAGTAGCATTTGTCGATGCTGAATAAACTACAAAATAAATGTTTGGGCCGAGACTTTAAAACTGCGCCCCACTGTGTTGCAAAATGAATATATTTCTACACGTTTTTCTTTACCTATAAGCAGCCAAATTTCTGTACTTGCACACAGTAGACGCAATTGATCATTTACATACCGTTTTCATTAGTTTGAACAAAGTCAGTAATGGTACTCTCGTGTCACGGCATTTTCTGGTTCATCGATCACTTGATTGTCTGGTTTGCCTGCTTACCCTTTTTGCGAACACCTGGTGTCATCACTTATTTTCAGCAATTTGTCCTTCACGCCAAGTTGAATCTGTTTCGGGAGAAAATATAGAATGGTTATTCTCTTGCATTGACTATATATATTTTATATATTTTTAAGTCACACCATCATAAACATGAAGAAACTTAACAAATTCTAATTCTATTTACCGCCAGATAACAGGATGTTCACAGTTGAGTATGACGGTATCTATGCGATCAACATGACGCAGTTTGACTACACGATGATCCTCAGCGGCCGACGCAGTGACATGAATGAAGACATTGTGTATGACCCAAGGAGACAACGCGTGTTCTACTCTTTCGGCAATCTCCAGTAGGTATAGTAGGTGTGAGTGAGTGAGTGTGACTTCAATGCTACACAACCCGTGAAGATCCGGGGTAGAAGAGGTCTTCAGCAACCAATGCTTGCTGTAAAATGCGACTATGCTTATCGTAAGAGTCGACGAACAGATCGGGTGGTCAGGATCGCTAACGTGGTTGATGCATGTCATCCTATTCCAATTACGTGGATCGATGTCATGTCAATCACGGGATTGTCTGGTCCAGACTCGACTCGACTCGTCATATTGCTGAGTGCGGCGTTAAACAACACACAAACAAACAAACAAACAAATCACTGCTACACAAAAAGCGAAACCAGGTCTTGCGTCGCTGCTTTGAATGCGTGAAACCAGTTAACTCGGTCAATACCAAGTACGTGTAGTAGGAGTGAGTGAGAGTTACTACAATGCTACACAAAGCAAAGCTAGGTTTGCATCACTGCTTTGAATTCGGGAAACAGTATGTAGGTCTCCCATTGCTGGCCGGGATTCACCCCTCGGTTTGACTGGATGAATGTGTGAGTTGAGGTTTAGACCCGTGAAGATTCCGGGGTAGAATAGGTCTTCAGCAACCCATGCTTGCCGTAAAAGGCGACTATGCTTGTCGTAAAAGGCGACGAACGGGATCGGGTGGTCAGGCTCGCTGACTTGGTTGATGCATGTCATCGATCCCAATTGCGTGTATCTATGCTCATGATATTAGTCACTGGGTTGTCTGGTCCAGACTCGATTATTTACAGACCGCCGTCATATAGTTGGAATATTGCTGAGTGCGGCGTTAAACAACAAACCAGCCAACCAACAACCAAGAGTTGAGGTTTATGTCTGTTTTCGCAATAGCTTAGCAATATCAACGCGGGGAATCCCAGAAACGGGTTTCCAAAATCATTTTACCCATGTTGGGACTAAAGAATTGAAGTGTTTCCGATGTGACTGGGGAGAACGAGTAAAACAAGGTCATGCATAGTTTTCTTGGAGAGTGTTTAGAAATGTTTTCAGAAATATCTTGTAGGCTGTGCTTACTAGATTAACATTGTTCACCTTTCTCATGTACAGGAAAGTCAGGATGATGACTCCCACTGGCGACCAGAATTCCCCCATTGGACCTAACCTTGGAAGGGGCAAGAAGCTTCTTCTTTTGCTGTAGGCGATGTTGGTCACCAAGTTCCAATCTCAACATCTAATCAGGAAATAAACTAGATTATCACTCAAGAAGGTTTTATTTGTTTGAAGGAATGAGTGAATAAATGTTGTTTAAGCTGGATGTAAGCTTTGATTCATTTCCAAACCAGTGATTGATGGTATGTACACCGTGATAGCCTCCCCGAGCCGTACATTGTCGACAGAAAAGGAAACGGAGATACCAAAGCAACAAGGTCTACAACCAGAACTGTCCTCAGGAAACATGTTTGGTTAGGTTAGAGTGGAAGAATAACAAAAGCAATTGTGAACATTCATGAATTTTTGTTTGTATTGCCAATCGAAGGTACATTTTACGTCACTCCCTATCATAAACTCAGACGAAAGGCGACTGGGCCACCCATGCGCCCTTCGTGGGGTTCAATACGTCACTATATGCCTGAAATACTGCCGATGTGACGTTAAATGGTAACTCACTCACCCATGGACTGCAATACTGTATAATATGAAATAGAAATAGTGGCTGATGTGAGTGTCCATTGTTGTCTCACCTCACTGAAATAGTCTGTAGGCCCGTACCTGCTCCCTTCTTTGCTCAATTCCATCTCCACTCTCAATATTTTTCAAAACACGGTATAAAGTTGCATAACAAGGGAGATAACTCTACATAAATGAAAGAAATGACAGAAGGTCAGAATAAGTTCTTCATGCACTTTTGACATGTCGACTATATATGACAATTTCTTGTACTTATTTGAGCATCCTCCCACACTGTTGGGTTGTCAACCAAATCGCAAAGCCTGACCACTAGATCCATGTGATCTGCTCTTGCGACAAGAATAATTTACTATTGGGCTCTTCTATCCCGAAATCCCCAGGGGTAGATACTCAAAAGGTTGCAAATAAGATTAAAGAACTCAAATTCATTTCCTGCATGCAACTGTACATATCTAAAAAGGAATAAAACCGGATATGTTTTGCACTGAATGGAAACAGTGGAAGCAGCACCACCCAACCTTTGGCCGACGACCACAACACTTTTCCACCATACACATGTAACCTAAGGGAATTTAGTATGTGCGTGTGTGTGTGTAACATGAATCACGTGGACTTTGTTCCCAAATTGAAACAACATGTTAACCCAGAATATTGTACGTAAACGAACTTAGTGTGAAACCAACATACAACCAACAAGTGGTATACACTTAAATGTATTACCAAATTAACTTGGTTTACCTTCTGACTTAACTTCCTGACGACTGCTGACATTGTCCAAACACAATGCAATGAGCGCCTACCGAATCTCAACAGAAACAATGTAACATGCAACTGGACCGTTCTTTAGCCAAAATGGCATCACTTTATATTCGTAAAGTCCATCTGGATTCACAAGAGCTGATAACCGCTTATGCATTGGAATATGCCAATACCCCTTCAGTAGGTCAAACTTGCTTGCGTTCCTGGCTTTACCAATTCTGTCAATGCAGTCATCGATACTTGGTAATTGGATAAGATTCAGTTTCAGAAACAGCTTTCACACGTTTCATGTCAGTACAACATATGTACCTCCGTCATATAGATGGAATATTGCTGAGTGCAGCGTTAAACAACAAACAAACAAACAAAACAACATATGTAACTACAAGAATGCAATCTGAACTCCAGTCACTATGACTTGGTTCAATAAAGTCATTGTATTGAAACTCCTTCTTCAGGGCTTCAAGCTTGATTGGATTTATCCAGTAAGGATGTTGCTTCACCGGCACATCCTCACCTACATCTACATCTACATCTACATCATGACGTCCTAAATGTGTACGGCCAGAACAAATGAGCAAACTCTTGGATTAACTCTGACACTTGAGCCTTTTGCTCAGATGACTAATTAATTAACTTAACATCCAAGTTAGCTAAAACTTCAGAATTGTTTCAGACATTTAATCGTTAAGGAAGCAACTTCATTGATCATGAGACGTTTTCAACATGCTGAACATTTACGTGCCAAAGGCATGTTGCAGGTGGGCACACGTCAGAATATTGTTGCCCAAATGCTGCATGTTACTCAATCCGTCATCAGTCATCAGCAGTTGGCGGGCCCGATACCAAGAAACACATAACCTTGATGATCGACGCCACTCTGGACCCCTGGGACAGATGAGTCAGAACGATGGCATTGAGAAATTGAGAAAAGCGAGCGGATGCAACAGGCAACTGGTGTGTTGAATGTACATGTCCAGACGGTGCTAATTCATCTGCACAGAACAGAATCTGATGGCATTTGCTTCCACGTGTCATCCAACAACTTACTGCGCGTCATTTGAATCAGAGGCGTCAGCGAAGAAGGGAACGTGTGCATTGGGTGATTGAGTTACAATCTAAAATCACATAGGCAGTATTTTCAGCCATATCGTGACTATAAATAGTTTTAGATGAAGAATAAATACATTTAGACAATATAAAAAGCTGTCAACAAAGGACAGAAAACAACTAGACTTATCATATATTTATATTTAAAACTAGATAGTAACTGTGAGTGAGGCACTCATTAAGAGCAACCTCCTCGTGGTAAGTGCTGGGTAATGCCAATCGCTCTTCCCCCGTGTCGACCCAGGGTAGAATGGATAGTTCTGAGCACGCATAGTTCTTTCAAAATCCTATGATAACAACAGACTTTCGTTACTTGAATTTCCAATAACATTATTGCGTCTTAAATTTGCTTAGAGTCCTATGCCAGAAGGCGATGGCTCATGGGCCAATCTGGCTTTGTAAACCTCTGAATTCTGTTTCTCCAGAAAAGTGTCATGAGCGAACCAGCCTGGCATTAAAGCATTCCATAGCTATTCAAGTTTATATTTGCTGGAGTATAACATGCTTGTAGCCCTTGTGGTACAGGCGGGCTTCCACTGCACCATCGTCCTTGTTGACATTCCATGACGGGTGGGGAGCAGAAATGTCAAAACCTGTGCTTATGCCCATGGCTCTTCTCATTCCATCTGGTTCATCAAAGAACATGTTGAGTCTTTATCATCTGATGAAGGATCGTCTGAAATTGTTGACTCGTGGCCCAGGTTCATTGTGATTTCATCTTCTGATGAAACTCCTTGGAAACTGAACCCATTCATTCAAGGCGTCTGGTGAGAGGTAAAGAATGTAACATTCCTCCGAAGCGGTTCACTGTTAGAGGAATGTGCATGGAGACAACAATCTGACAATCTCCTGAAATTAAAACAGTTTGCGAAAACACTAGTTTTTGTCTCAGTGCGCAAGACACTGAACTCCTGCAGAGGCATAGTCAGAGACAGGGCTCGTTGTCTTTCTGACATGAGTGAGGAGAAAATTGTAACTGAGCTGAAAAATCAAGGAATAACTGATGTGAAGCGATTTACAAAAAAAGAAAGATAATGGCACTATTACAAAACTGAACACTTACCTATTTTCATTTGCACTTTCTTCTATTCCAAAGAGGATAAAAGCTGGATACTTTAACATCGGTGTGGAGGTATACGTACCAAATCCACTCCGATGCTTCAAATTTCAAATGTTTGGTCATGGGGCCAAATAACCAAACGGTATGTTGTGGTGAAGCTCATGAGGGCCCTGAGTGCTCAAACAGCATCAAGTATGCTAACTGCAATGGAGAACACTTGGCCTCATCCAAATTATGTCCATTATACGACCGTAATTCAAAAAGTCAAACACACTACCAATATTTCGTATTTTGAAGCTAATAAGTTGGTGCCTCTTCCTACAAATTCAACTGTAACATATTCAGCTGCAGTTTCCGCTCCAGCTCCTGTTGCCAGAACCACCATGAGATCGACACCGTGTCAAACATCGATATCGTGGGTACATGAACAGCTCATCCTTGATGACCATACCCAGTTTGTTCCTTCTCTGCCTAAAAACTCCACATCAGCCTCACAAACAGACATTGTATCACCAAAGCCTTCATTGGATCCATCATCTGAACTAGAAATTGTGAGTGAGCCCACATGTCTGCAAAGATAAAAAGCAGTTGAAAAAAGGCAACGGCCGTCCTGCATTTGGAGGTGTCTTCTACTCAGTCATCACCTTTAAATGTTCATAATCAGTTTGAACCTTTGGAGATGGAGGTCAGTCCTTCACTCCCAGTCCATGGGAGTGGACCCCCATCCCGCTCGCCATCTCCAATTGAGCCACCATGAACAGCTCAAATACTATTATTCATTCAGTGGAATTGTAGAGGAATAAAGAATAATTTTAATGATTTACAGTTACTGATTATAAACCATCAGCATTTTGTTTACAGGAAACATACTTATCAAATACCGATAAACTTGACATAAGGCAGTATAATTCATTTCATGCCTTCTCACCTCTGGGTGTTAAAGCTACTGGAGGTTCTTCAATCTTAGTGAGACAGGGCATCATACATAGCCCTGTTCCTTTCAATACCCCTCTTCAGGCTGTTGCTGTCCATGTGACTTTGTGCTCTCTTCATGTTCCTCCATCATTTACACATCGGCATGTTGATCTCGAGGCGCTCTAGGACCAGCTTTCCAAGCCCTGCAATAATCATGGGCGATTTGAATGGACACAACCCTCATTGTGGCAGTGCGCATACAAGTAGTGAAGGGAAAGTTCTGGAAGCTTATATTTCTAACAACAATCTACGACAGTCTTTTTAATGATCGTTCTGCCACTTATTTACATCCTGGTCCCTGCGCAGTAGTTGAATGATAATCACGTTCCGCCAAATCAAATAATGGTCACAAAACCATCCATTCTGTGAACATTTACTGCCATATTAATCCTGACCAGTACAAGCAAATATCCAACATTATTTCGGGAAACACTTCATCCCACACTGTGGCATTCTAGCGTGCTGATGAAACCCCGTCATGCAGAGCGGCCCCTCGTGCAATGTCAAAATCGCCAATAGATAAGACAGTCAGCGATCTCAAATTATGCTCAACAACAAAAGTTCCCGTGACACCAATATTTTAGTGTATTTTTCAAACAAGTAAAGTTTGGTTTTCAATTAATGTAGTACATGTACAGAAAGGCATGCATTCTATTCATGCAAGACAATTTAACGTCCACAGAAACACCATTTGGTGTTTATGGCAAAGTTGGCAACAGGCGAATGCAGTCAGAGACCATCCTCAGAATGACATGCCACGCGTAAACAATAATCGACAAGACAACTGGATTCGAACAACACACCTACGAAATCGATTCCAGCCAGCAACAGTGACTGCAAGAAGCATCCATATCTTCACAAACCGTGGATCGTCGCCTCAGATGTGAAGGGATTATCGCAAGAAGACCCGCCAGACGTCCCATTTTGACAGGAAACCACCGTCAAGCACGTCTACAGTGGTGCAGACAGCGTCTACGCTGGACGACCATGCAGTGGGGACAAGTTCTATTCACTGACGAGTCTCTTTTTCACATCAGCCACAATTAATGTACTTCTCGTCACGATATGGCTGAAGTACTGCCGATGTGACGTTAAATCACTCACTCACTCACATCAGCCACAGCGATGGACGGATTGGAGTGTACCGACGTCGAGGTGAACGTTACGTCAATCATTGTATCAGGATTCTCCTCAACAAAACAACGTGAATGTCATCCCCTGGCCGGCTCGCTCCCCCTGATCTCTCACCAATCGAGCACATGTGGGATGAGATGGATCGGGGCCTTCGACGTCAACCATGTGTTCCACAGACACCCTTGGAACTTCGAAACATGCTCCAGAAGATATGGGCAGATATCCCACAGGACTTAGTGCGACGCCTGGTCCATTCCATGAGACGAAGATGTGTTGGTTGCATCGCAACGAGAGATGGACACACACGCTATTGATTTGTAAATTTACATTTTGGCATGTTCATGGTTTTTTTTTATGAAATCACGCATTTTCTGAAGTCAATATGGCAAATTAAACCATTCAACACTTACAGGAGTCTTTTATCTGTTGCAAATCGAAATTGTTTCAGATTTGGTAAATAACATAACTTTGCATTAAATGTTATTTCAATGTCAAAGGAACTTCTGTTGTTCAGTATATTAATGTTTCTGGTGGTGTCAACACTATGTTTGCTGGCAAGATTACTAGTGGAAACATAACGAGTGGAAACATAACGATTAATCTCGTTAAACCTTCAAGCCCGGTTCCAGTCAAAAGACGCCGGATTGTCATTTGAAGTGACAATGACACCGACTAAAGCATACTCTGCCCTCTCCTCCCGCGATACATTCTTCAAGTGAGAGAGCGGTTTGAATGGATAGCTATATATCAGTGAAATTATACCAGATATATAATCAAATGACACAAAATCGTTGCTGTTGCTGTTATTAAAGTTTCAGTTATTCTGCAAAACTCTGTTCAAGTATTTCGTTTAAAATAATCCGAGGAACATTTTTTCTCAGCGAAGGAATATTCCACGAACGAAGTTAAGAGGCTGTTTATTTTGGTTCACAGCAAAAGAAAACATGTATCACTACGCACGATCTCTTTGTATGATTTCTACAAGTTACTAATGTTAATGCATTTATTCCCTAAACGGGAAACAATAATGTGAAAATGATAAACAGAATCCAACAGAGTGTTTTTTTCATATGGCTCGGCAAGTACCGATTAACTAAGACTCGGATGTTTGTTTCCCATATTAAAAAAATGAATCCTCTATGTATTAAACGAGTTTGTTGTGTCTCAGTCACAAATTGTTGCTATATTGTTCAGTTTGTATGAGTATTAATATTAGCATTTAGTTATTAGTATATGGTGTATATAGTATAAGGTGTTGTTAGCATCAGTATTGATATTGATATTTCAATTTAGTTAATATCCAACGCATTCGGCGTAAATGGCAACATAGCGATGGAAATAATGCGAACCCCTTGTATCAGCACTATTTGAAAGTGATTCATAAACACATGCTCATGGTAAAGTCGGAATTGTACAGTCTCTCATGAATATGGAAAGGGTTTGTCGCTTTTATTTACAATGTATCCGAGTCATGAAGGTCATTTGAGTGAGATATGTAGATATATGAAACACAACATCTCAGTCATATTATATTAATATGGAAATGAGTGAGTGAGTGAGTTGGGTTTAACGCCGCTTTTAACATTATTCTAGTTATATCACGGCGTGTCAGCTTAATGTGGGAGGAAAGTCCGAAGTGATGCAGGTCTAAGACGTTTACCACTTTAGTGAAACCAACGAGCACGGGTATGGTGCTGACAAACCTAGAAACATAATGGGGCGAACCGGGATTCGAACCCACAATCATAGGTTTCTGGTGTTCCCAAGGGACGCAACTCTGCACAGCGAATCGCGGCGCCTTAGACGACAGGGCCACTCGTGCCCCCGATATGGAAATGAGGAAATCCCAAATGACAAAGGTAAGTTTGTGACTTTAAAGTCACATCGGAACTGTTTCAGCCATATCGTGATTAAAGTTACGCCACCACACATTAGGAACATGGGGACTATATTATTTGGTCAAACCCATGAGCACGAAAATGCTGACAGACCTAGGAACCTCATCGGGTATACCATTGGGTACGAACCTATGCCGAGCGGTTGTAAGTATCGCTTTTGCTGACACTGAATTTTTGTGATTGCCAACAGCAGGATGCGAACACACAGTGTGCGCACTGCAGTTTGTTTGTTTTTTAACGCCGCAGCAATATTCAAGTTATATGATGGATATATGTAAATAATCGAGTCTAGCTCAGACAAACAACTGATTGATGTCATGCGCATCGACCCACGTTTTTGGAGTACCATGACATGCATATACCAAGTCACCTGATCATCCAATCCCGTTAGTCGCCTCTTTCGACGAGCATGGGTCACTGAAGATCTATTCTAATACGGATCTTCATGGGTGGCGCACTGAAATATTACGAATGTAGTCTTCTACCACATCAACATGGATGACATTCTGTGCAATAACAAATAACTCTTTACTAACATAAAAACTAATAGTTCATTTTTTTATGTAGGGATTATGTCTTGGTTAGATCGGTGTTCACAATATCAGTCATTGGATTGCCTGGTCCAGATTCAATTATTTACATTCCGCCGTCATAAAGATGGAATAATGCTGTGACCTTAAAAAAGGTTTTGTTTATTGTTTAACGCCACACTCCAGCAATGTTACAGCTGTATGACGGTGATCTGTAAATAATTAGTAACCGTGTTATATACCTTATTTATAAACATGTTTTTAAAAATTCGATTGGATAAACGCATTTACAAAATATCGAGAATTCTACTTTGTGAAATGAAGCTGTGGATATATTGTTTTGTGTCGAATGACATTTCCGTATACAATCCAATTGCACATAACACATAGCGTATTTAATCAAGCGCAGATGTATTCATAGAACCACGCAGACATTTGGAAAACTGCTTTTCAGCTGGTGGAGCAGGTTTGCTGCAGCAAATACAATTCTGAATAATTATTGTGTAATAACTGGTCCTATTTAAGAAAAGAGGTGTGGCGGTGTCATTGAAAATTCAAATGACAGTCATGGGTAATGGTGTTTGCGATTTAATGTTCTGCATGAGCTCTAGAAAACAATATTGCACTGCCGTAAAGCGAATACTATTCTCTTTCGATGTTAATTAACAACATATTGCCGTAGCACTGTAGCTCGCCAGTGGTCAAGGACCAGTTGATATAAATGATTTCATTGGATCTATCAATAACGACAACATTACGTTTGTTGGCCTGGATAGGTCTAGGCTGTTTTCGCGCCTATTCCAAAGAATTTTGTATTTATCATTTTCCATGACACCATCCACATATTCCGGGTCGTACCATGGATGGACCTCAAAACCACAAGCACGGGGAAGACGGTAATAAGATGATCGGGCCACATCATCATGTCGCTTAAGATACTTTGCTGGGCATCCACTAACACTGTGTTGGATAGTCTCATTAAATTCATTGCATGTTCTACATTTCATATTTACATTTTGGTACAAAACTATATATTGACGTTTTCCAGTCGGAAGCGACTGTGCCTGAGCAGCACAGAGAAAGCCTTCTATTTATTTTTTCAGGCCAGCCGTCTTTATCCAAGCGAAGGAGTCTGCAGGGTTGCTGATCTTCTCAACACACTCCACATTGACTAGATGTAGAGGTCGTTCCGACAGCCTCTCCTTGAAAACAAGAGTGTTGGCCGATTTGATATGGCACTTCGCTTGGCTGACATTCATTTCTGCACCGTCCAGCAGTACTCAACCATCAACAAAATCAACATTGACATTGATATTATGTCCCACATCCAGCATTCTCGTTTTCGAAAACTGAGGAATGCCTTGTTTTCATCATTCTTCACAAGAGGATCATCAGACGAATAAATGTGTGCAAAAGTGCACAGTATAAATCTATCATAAATATCTAGAGCCTCCACGTTAATCAAACCACGCCCTTCCTGTATAATTGGTAAATGTAAGCACCTTGGGAAGAACGTGGGTGGTTGGATCTATTGTCTGACATGATTTTTCGTGTGAGAGTGTCAGAACCCTGAATTTCTAGATTCGTCGTATCATTGACACCCAAGTAAACTGACTGATCCTCCCTCTTCTACTTGCCACGTTTCAGATGAAGAATGTTGCGTTTGTCGAGTACAAAGGACCTGCCGATATCATTAGAAAAGGACTCCACAAGAAGAATATGTTTTTGTAGTGTGGTTCCTCCTTTGGCAATACGTTCAAGGTCATACATGTAAAGGGGGTGAGTAAGGGTGTTGGGGATCTGTTCTGAGGGGATCCAGGATGATAACCTTCCTCTTTGCTAAGCAAAAAGCTTAAAGGAGTGACAAACAGAAAAGCAAAGGACTAAAAGAATAGCCCTGAAATATTTACTGTTATTATTGTTTTTTAAATTAATATTATTATTCAGTATAAAGTTGATTTTACACCTCTCAACAGTACAGTGTAAGTAAGACAAAAGCTGAGTTTTAATGAATTTGGTTTAATGTACATGTACAAAGCAACTTGCAGTTTGAGAGCATTTAAGAGCATGGTTGAAACGCAAAAAAGGAAATCAAGGTTAAAAAACGGTACATAATTTTCTAGCTAATAGACATTTAGAAACATTAAACACATTCAGGATATTAATGTATGCAAGCAACTGCATTACAATTATTTTGGAATCGGAAACTATTGAGATAATTCCTGCTGATTGCAGAAGGAAATGGCACATCTATGATGTCTCTGAAAATACCTTTATTTGAAGGATATCATATTTTCATAGGAAACCCTTTTCAAGGCTAAACATGTCTGTCGATGGCATATGGAACGATGAAATTCGTTGATCTTTCATAATATCTTCCACGATGTTTCGTAGTTCTTGTGAAGTGACTATTTGAAATACAACCTCTGTCTGTGCCCACGTCTTCAAATGTTCTAGGTGACGTATAATGTGATGACGTAGGGCTGTAACGTCACTTCCGAAAATGTCGGTAATATACACGATTCCCATTTGACATTCCGTCGGTGTTCCAACTGAGAGAAGTGACACTTCAGAGTTATCGCCCATTGACTGAAGAGCAAATGTGTCCACTGCCAGTATGTATTTGATATTTGATGGGACGAGACGGAGAGGAACCCAGTCTATTATTATTTTGCCTTCAGGGAAAAGCGTGTCTCGGGTTTTCTCGTCCTCAAATAATGACGTCATGGTCGATGAGTTAACCTCCTTCGGAAAAGTCGTCATGTTTAGTGGAGGATCAATGTCTTCAACCTTAAAACGGTAACTTAAGATGGTCTGCAATACGAAAATACATCAGATTACAGATATGTATTATAGAAAGTGTGTTTCCCAACAGACAAGAAGTGCAGAATTGCGTACATTGCAAGGGTCATATTGTCGTGGATTTGTATAAGCGTAGGAAGAATAGCATTTAGAACCCGACGAGGGTGAACCTCCTTAATCTATTCCATGTGTTGAAAAGGTCAAGTGTATTTATATTGACGACGTGAAGGTTCAGATATTGATATCTCCAGGACTGTTTCAACATGTGCATAAAATCAGAAATGTCATATAACTCATTACAATAGAAAAGGTGAATCCTAAAGCTCGTGTTGGTTGGTTGGTTTGTCATTTAACGCCGCACTCAGCAATATTCCAGCTATATAACGGCGGTCTGTAAATAAACGAGTCTGGAACAGACAATCCAGTGATTAATGTCATGAGCATCGGTCCACGCAATTGGGATCGATGACATGCATCACTCAAGTCAGCGAGCCTTACCAGCCGATCCCGTTTGTCGCCTTTTACGACAAGCATAGTCACCTTTTACGGCCAGCATGGGTTGCTAAAGACTTATTCTACCCCGGATCCTTCACGGGTCCCTAAAGCTTGTGACTACAACAGACATTATGACTGATAGCTAACCGAATGATTTCAATAGGTTCCTAAGGTACTTTTCTTTAGACATAGCTTTTCATGTGACACCAATTTTACGTGTACATATATTTAAAAATAAAGAATTAAAAGAGCAAAAAGTCTCAGAACTTGTGTTTTTAATAAACCCTGTATTGAGAGCAACGTCCCACTCTGTCAGGGTAAAATGTCACAATCTTTTGCTTTAATCCAAGTGAATTTTGGAGTAACCAACACACCTAAATATCTATAAAAGTAAACTTGCTTCATCTCATTAAAATCCATTTTTCGTAATTTTCCCCCATTTCTAAAAAGAATTTAATCTTCATACCTGTGTCTTTACGAAACATTTACACTATATTTATCTCTTCCTGTAGTCTAATTGTTGTATCCGCACATCCGGCTACAACATCAGCATAACTATTTGGTATTTCTGTCCTAAGAGAAATTCCCATCATGCAATTGTTATGAAGTCCAGTTCCTAATTGTAGCAGTTATAAAGAGGGAAAACAATAATGGGCTCATAATACAATCTTGACGGCTTCCCAATGTACATGAAAATGTTTAGTTAAACCTTTCTGTGTTTTAACACAGGAATTTAATTTGACTATACATATTTTCGATTGCCCCGAGAGACCGAATACTCATACGTCTTAAATAATACCTTATGGTAAAGATTATCAAAAGCCTTAGCAAAATTAAAAAAAACACAATAACAAAGTCCTCCTTTTTCGAATAGATATTTCCGTACAAGACTTTGTAAGACAAATATGAGGTCAATTGTCGAATAGGGGGCACGGGTGGCCCAGTCGTCTGAGGCGCCGCGATTCGCTGTGCAGAGTTGCGTCCCTTGGGCACGCCAGAAACCTATGATTGTGGGTTCGAATCCCGGTTCCCCCGATTATGTTTCTAGGTTTGTCAGCACCAGACCCGAGCTCGTGGGTTTCACCGATCTGGTAAACGTCTAAGATCTGCATAACTTCGGGCTTTCCTCCCACATTAAGCTGACACGCCGCAATATAACTGGAATACTGTTAAAAGCGGTGTTAAACCCAACTCACTCACTCACTATTATGTAAAATACTAGCATACACTTTACACAAAAAATTATTGATGATTATCCTCTATACTCTCCTGGGTCAAATTTAGATCCTTTCCTGTGCTTAGGAGACATACTCCTTATACCCCATTCCTTAGGGAACTCACCAAAAAGAAATACATTATTAAATAGTCTTGTAAGAACATTTCTGCAACAATTCCATCTGGTCCGGATGATTCATAGTTTGAAAGTATTGTTATATTATTTGCAACTTCCTGCACAGAAATTTATTTATCTAACATATCAAAGAATTCTATGATAATACTTATATCATCATTTTCTGAGAAAACATTTCTACTATTAGTTTCTTACAAATTCTTGAAATAATCAAACCATTGTTGGCCATTCAATAAATCGGAAATAACTCACTGTCCCCCAAGGAACATTACTAGTAAGGAATACAAATAAACTCTTTTCATATTACCATATTAAAATAAAACTTAACATTTCTATTCCTAAATTCATAAAAAGAAATCCAATAAAATACTAAGCTCATCACATTTCTCCCAAAATCGACCCGTGAAGATTCCGGGGTAGAATAGGACTTCAGCAACCCATGCTTGTCGTAAGAGGCGACAAACGGGAGTGGCTGGTCAGGCTCGCTGACTTGAGTGATGCATGTCATCGATCCCAATTGCGTGGATCGATGCTCATGATATCAATCACTTGATTGTCTGGTCCAGACTCGATTATTTACAGACCGCCGTCATATAGCTGGAATATTGCTGAGTGCGGCGTTAAACATCAAACCAAACCAAAACGGTGGCTCATGGGCCAATCTGATAGGCTAATTAATTTTACTCAATTCGTCTGCTTAAGTATACCATTCCAGTATCCCTGGTGCTGCCAGTTGGAGATCCACTGGCTTATAGTATTGTCCCTGTGATACTCCGTGGTGGGTTGGGAGCTGGGATGGCGAACCATATACAAACTCAAAATGACACAACCAAAAAAAAAAAAATGTTCTTTGGAATATTCCTCGGATGAGGAGACTACCACCCTGAAGTGTTCTTCTGGTAGTTGGTCTAGATTTTTAGTGGTTTTCGCCACTGATGGTACACCTTTAAGATTGAATCCTTTTGCCATTTCTAAGGTATTTTATGGCATTGCTGGAGATGTCCAGGATGTCAAAAAGATTCGGTCCACTAGTTCAGTGGAATTACAGAGGTCTCCGGTCCAATATTAACAAATTATATCTTTTAATTCAAGATTTTACGCCTTCAGCAATCCGTCTTCAAGAGACGTATCTCAAACAGACCGACACCTTTGATTTGCGCCGGTACAGTTCCTATCATTCATTTTCTCCACCAGGTGTTAAAGCTACAGGAGGATCTACTCTTTTGGTGAAGCAGAGAGTGATCCTCAGCCCTGTTTCATCCTCAAGCTGTAGCAGTCAGACTAACTTTACACATAACCTTTACTCTGTGTTTACTGTATATTTCTCCCTCCTCTGTGCTTCAGAGATCAGATCTTCAATCCTTATATGATCTGCATGATCATGGGGACATAACCAGTTATTGGGAAGTGTTAACGTAAATCCTAAGGGGAAAATACTTGAAGATTTTATTTCTGATAACAGTTTATGCATTTTCAATGATGGATCAAATACCTATTTACATCCTGCTACTGGAACTTATTCCGCTTTAGATCTGTCACTAACAAATTCAAATCTCTTAAGCGAATTCACGTGGTCTGTCCACGATGACTTGTGCAGATATTTTGGCAATAAAGACATCGTGTCCGAGCCGAGAAATCGAGGCGACGAAAGCCTAGGTGTCATTTGACTAACATTTCCCACGATCGCACGAAAAGATGGAAAATGATAACTTTGATGTCAGTTTGGCATATTTTAGATATATTTTTGTTGGTTTTATTACTTTGTATAATATATATTTAAAGATTTGCTTGAAACGTCTTGATTTTGCTGTTTGACATGTTCGATGAGGACCCGTTGTCGAAGTGTGTCCAGGAATTTTATTTCAATAACATTGCGGGAAATAGTAAATAATTTTATCTATTGATAAAAAATGATAAAATCAAATGGAGGTGGTGACGTGAGGTGAAATGGGATTTAACGTCGCGTCCAAGATTATTGCACTTATATAGCGACGTACATGTACGCGTGTGTGTTTGTGTGGCTGCTTGTACTAGTCCGGACTGATGCCGAATTAAAGTGCTAGCTCACTGAGATACCATGCCGCAGTTTAACACGAATACCCCACTCAGACACAGTATACTGACTCCGAGCAGTATGCCCTTGTTTTAGCCCCTTAATGCCGAGCGCCATACAGGGTAACAACAAGTACCATCTTTTAACGTCTTTTGGTATGACGCGGTCGGGGATCGAACCCCGGACCTCTAAGACACTCTGATATTTCTCGCTGGGATCCTTCTCTAACACAATCAAAGCTTGTCAACGCAAAGCGCACTGGTGACCGGTTTAACTCTTTTAACACTGTTGGCCGGTACACCGGCCAAGAAGCCACGAGTCACCAGACAACGCAGGGTAGACCGGCTCTACCACTAGACCACGGAGGCGGTCCAAAAAAATCAAACGGAATACGTATTTAAGATATTGTGAAATGTGATAGATTGAATAAATGAATGATATGTCAAGTAGGTTAATACAATTATAAACTACTTTGACGTGACTTGGCCGGTCTACCCTGCGTTGTCTGGTGACTCGTGGCTTCTTGGCCGGTGTACCGGCCAACAGTGTTAAAAGAGTTAAACCGGTCACCAGTGCGCTTTGCGTTGACAAGCTTTGATTGTGTTAGAGAAGGATCCCAGCGAGAAATATCAGAGTGTCTTCCCTTTGCTTTACGCTCGACGAGGAAATGAAATCTCTTTTTGTTTGAACTTTTTGACGAAAAGATAGGCGGTAATAAAAAAGGGTAATTTTCGTTTTTATTTTTTTTTCAACATTTGGACTTTTAAAGAGCGCATCTGTAAACTAAGAAATACTCAGCTGCTATACATGCATCCCTGAATTCCTCATACATTTTAGAAAAAATGACAAATGGTCTTCGTTACCAATGCTAATTATATAGATGAAATCAAATTAAGTGTGGAAACGAACACTGTGCTCAGAAAACTGTACTTGCTGAAATGTAAACAAAAAATTAAGAATTAGCATTGTGTAGCATTTTTAGAGGTAATTGCGTCTAATTGTTGAATACATCGGCTCGGTCACGCCTTTGAGAATATTCATGGGAAGATTATCATTGCATTAATTATGGAATTTCAAATATATACATTACAATGATGTGGAGAATACAACAGAACCCGTAAACGTTTCCGTCCTGTGTGACGCCATGACTGACGCTAAATCACGCACAACGACGACGTTGCATTTCGGACTTATCCTCTTTATTACATTGTAAAACATTACTGTCTACTTTCTGATTACATACGTGACACATTTGTGTATATACGATCCCTCAATCAACGAAAATCCTCCTCTGGAAATCCCGCGATTTTTTTCAAAGTCGGTCACCCGTAGTGATGTTATACTGAAGTAAACATTGTGAAAACTTTCAACTCGGCATCCAGCGTGTTCTTTGTTTTTGTCTAGTTTGCATTATCATCATCGCCTTGATAATCCACAGATATGGCGGAATCCTTTTGTGTAGGGTCACATTATTTATGAGTAGTAATCAGTACATAGGATGACGTCACTTATGACGGTGGTGTTATTACGTATTAATGCGCTACTGCGATCATCAGAATAAACAAAATGCAACGATTCGATGCTAAAAAGGTGCGATTTTAGGGTGTGTAAGAAACAGATACCATTGATCTTACAACTTAACATGCTACATCAGTAATATTTGTACTGTTTTATACTACACGTGTACGTCTTACTGTTTTGATGTGAAAGCTTTTAGTGAATGTGTAATTTGCTGCCAATGGCTAAAATATTGCCATTGCAACATTACATTTCAACCAACACTCTCCTTCCCAGATGCGCCCTGATAATGAATGCCCTTTTGTCAGCACCATACCTATACTATGCCCAGCAGTATACGTCTAAGCCATGTATCACTTTATAGGATGTTTCCTGTGAAATACTGTGTGTGCATTCACTCAAGAACATCTGACATCGACGAAATGTTTTCACCTGATGAAGGAGTAAGCATATACTCCGAAACGTTGTGTTCCTCATAATAAAGAAGTTGACATAGATATAGTCTCTTCCTTATGTGTATCACTTCTAAATGCCTTTCAAAGACCTGATCAGGGAAACAGTAAAGAAGCCATATTTATCTATGTCTTTTCAATGACCTTGCTATTGTTGATACACGTTTGATTCTATTCGTTACAAGAAAGGCTTGTATTTGTCAAACATCTTCAACTGATTAATATGCGCGACACTGATGAGATAGTTACAAACCTTTCTGCACATAACTGCATAGGCGTTCTCTAGGCTTTTCTTATCTTCACAGTTGTAATTGTCGGTGGTCATGGCGTCGTATTTGATGCTGTCTACATCTTTGTATTCTGCGTAAATGTGTTTCAGTAGGCGACCATAAACCCCTTGTCCTCGGAAGCCGTTCTTCACCCTACTGGCTCGTATGAGAAAGGTCAGTCCATCGTCAATGAGAGCAATGCTGCAGAAACCAACCTGCGGACAGAAAAAACAACATAAGCCTTTCGTCGGGGTTTGTTTCTGTAAGTGTAAGATCCTTAAACGCGCAAATAATTATAGTGCCATATAAAAGAGTCATTTCCAAGTTTAAAAAAGAAATTTATTAAAGGGGTATTTGAACAGCTACAAGAAGACAAAGTCAGCAAAGTCAGCTTTATAATTTGTAACTAGTTTTATTCATATTTTGTCCCTCTTTTCATTCCAGATAAAAAAAATGATGTTTATTTGTTTATATATATTTTTTGTGGGGATTTGATAAAGCAGTTAATATATGAACAATAGTTGACAAAGCCAAGGGTTTTACTACAGATATGTTAGCTAATAATATCTAGCTGCTTTTCCTCCGGTTTGAGATCATTCTTAAATTGTTTCCGGCCGTTATGTAGTGTTGATAATCCCACGGTTATTATGTCGTCTTTTAGTTTAATTCCATGCACATCGAAATAGGCGTCAAGCCATTCCAGTGTTAAATCAGAACATAATGTGAGTGAACTCCCTGTCATGGATACTAGCCATACGGGTTTATCAACATTGATTTTTAAGCCAGACCATATAGAACTTACTTAGTGTTCTTAGTGCTTAATTTAAAGACGTTGCTGCGCCGTCCAGAAACAGTTCGCTATCATTTGCGTATTGCCCTATCACGTGCTCACTCCCTCCACGAGCTATACTTTTTATATTTGTATTATGTCTTATCCCTACCCCTAGTATGTCTCCAACAAAGTAGAAATATGGGGGAATCAGATTCCCTTGTCTACATCCTCTCTCGTTTTCGAAAACTGATGAAAACGACCATTTTGTAGGACACAAAAAAGTAATAAGAAATAAAAAAAAGATATGTACCCATATTTTGCATATAGGTTCCAAAACCACATTTATCTGGAACCGTCATTATGAATCGTTTGGAAACTGTGTCAAAAGTGTTTTCAATATCGATTATTTAATAACAAGACCTTTATTCTTTTATCGTTTTGATTCAAAGATGATGTCATATAAGAGTCGAATGATTTCGCTAACCTACCTTATGCCAGAGCCACCATCAAAATCCACAAGAACCCTCCTAAAGCCCGTCTACTTGTGTGTTCGCGAGATACTGTCCTCTACAAAACGGCCCAACACCTAACCAGAATCCTTGCCCCTGCTCCAAACTCAAGAACATCAACGATCGAGATCAAATCATCAGTTACGACGTAGTAGACCTGTTCACCAACGTACCCATAGATGACACTCTGCAAATTCTCCGTCGTCGCATCACTGAAACTCCTCTTGAAACCAGCCTATCCACCGAATCCATCATCACCCTCTCCACCGCCTGTATCTCCACCACCTACTTCACCTGGGGCGATGATAACTATAAACAGATACACGGCCTGCCCATGGGATCCCCAATCTCTCCTATCCTTACTGAAATCTACATGACCTACTTCCAACACCAAGCCCTCACATCACCCATCCAACCTATTTGCTGGTACAGGAAAGTTGACGACACCTTTGTCATCCTAAAACAAGACCAAAACCCAACCCTGCTACTACATCTTAAGCAACAACACCCCCCGAGTACAGTTCACCATCGAAATAGAAAAGAACAACCAACTACGCTGCCTAGATGTCCTCGTTTCCAGAAGCCCAACAAACAGAATCCAAACAAGTGTCTACCGGAAGCCCACCCACACCGACCAGTATATCCACTTCAAATTTAACCACCCTCTAAGGACCAAGACTGGAATCATAACCACCCTCATCAAACGAGCCATCAACCTTTATTCTGCTGACCCGCAAACCTGAGATCGAACACCTCCGTCAAGTCTTCACCCACCTCAACAAATATCCACCCAATCTCGTCGACAAAGTCATCGCCCCTGTACTCCATCCAACACCCAGACCTGCGACCCTTTAACCCGAATCAGCGCCCTTACGCATCGCCCTCCCGTTCATAGGAAAAGCCTCCCACATCATCAGCCGCCTCCTCAAACAGCAAGCCAACATCGACACCACTTCACCAGCTCCAACTCCCTCAACACCCTGCTAATAGCCAACGGGAGGAACACAACCAAACCCCAGGAGCCTAAAGGTGTAGTTTACAAAATTGACTGCAATTGTGGACAATCTTACGTAGGTGAAACATCCGAAATTCTCCAGAAGGTCAAAAACATGGAAATTACTATTGATCGCTTGGAACAATACAGTAGAAAGTTAAACATGTTGCTGTTTGGTGTGCCTGATAATGGCAATGAGACCAGTGATACTTTAAAAGAATCAGTCTGTGATATTTTGAACTCCAAGTTAACAAGTGATCAGCAAGTCTCCAAACGCTCTGACATTGTTAACGTACATCGGATCAAGAAAAAACAATCATGACGTACATGCCCTATTATTGTGCGTTTTTTGAGTATGGACATGAAACTTCAAGCTATTCGTCTAAACGGAAAACTTAAGGACTCAGGCATAGGGGTTTCAAATGATCTCACAGCGAAATCTACTGCAGAATCTACGCCAACAGAATAAGATAGGTTACTTCAAAAATGGCAGACTGGTTGTCGAGGATAACCAACCCCCCATTGTCACGACGTGGACTTGAAGATAATTCCCAGGAAATTGACTCAATCAGGCAAAACCCCAGCTCTCAAGATCAACAGGAGGCAACAGGTTACAGATAGGGATGTGGCCGTGGCCTAGATAGTTCTGCCCATCCAAACCATCCACTGAAATTTCTATTTTGGAATATATCTGGACTTACTGCAAACAGATTAAACGACAATGATTTCATTGATTACATACATCTGTTTGATGTAATTAGTCTAAGTGAGACTTGGTGCAAGGAACATGAATGTGATCAGTTCTCAGGTCTATTCCTATCTTATGAACTACCAGCTGAGAAAATATCGTTATTTGGAAGACTGTCTGGTGGTATTGTGGTTTTTGTTAGGAAAACATTAGAAGACTATGTGAAAGGTTATGTAATTTGTCAAAATGCTGTGTTTTTAGTGTTTGATAAGTTAATACTTGATTTAGACAAAGACTTGTTGGTTGTATGAGCCTATGTTCACCCGAATGGATCATCACGGTATGCAAACGAAATATCTGGATGTGGAATAACTTTATTATTTGACTCGCTTTTTGATGTATTTCAAAAAATTTGGTGATGTCCATATTCTAATGGGCGGTGATCTCAACGCAAGAACGGGTACTGGCCCCGACTCAGTTAGTGATGACCTTGCGGAAAGGCTGGGAATTGATGACTTCTCTGATCTCGGGAATAGCATTAACATTGAACATTTTTCATGTCATAACTGTGTAAATACATTTGGAAAAATACTTTTGAACTTTTGCAGTGCCATGAATTTGAATATAATGAATGACCGATGTGGTGGGGATGCTGAGAAGGGTGAACTCACATTCATTAGTGCCAACGGCACAAGTGTGGTTGACTACATAATTTCGTCTACTGGTTTGTCTTCTTTGTGGGGCGGTCGGGTAGCCTAGTGGTTAAAGCGTTCGCTCGTCACGCCGAAGACCCGGGTTCGATTTTCCGACATGGGTACAATGTGTGAAGCCCATTTCTGGTGTCCCCCGCCGTGATATTGCTGGAATATTGCTAAAAGCGGCGTAAAACCATACTCACTCACTCACTGTCTTCTTTGAGCAGCCATTTTGATGTCATATCTAGGTCAAAGTCGGAGCACATGCCACTCACTTGTCGATTTCAGTCATGTGATCACGCAGACACCAGCCAGCGTGACCGTGATGCACGTGTAAAGAGAAGCAGCTGTCGCTTTAGTTGGAATTACAGCAAAGAAACTATCTTCAGAGACAATTGCGATCTACAGACTCGTCATCTATGTTTGAGAAATGTGTTGAATTTCTGTACGCTGGTGAAATTGATAATGTTGTCGACGTGTTAACAAATATTTTATGTAAATCTGCAGAATGTATGAAACAAACAAAATTCTATATTGTTTGTAATTAACCTTGGTTTGATAAGGTATGCCATTTTTATCGGTCTGAGAGATTACGTTTACTTAAGGTTTTCAGACATTGTTAAACCCAGTTTAATTTGAATAATTACATAAAAACAAGAAATTTGTACACCTCTGTCATACGGGAGAAACGGTTGTCATATCAAGAGGAGATTTGCAGAGTTAATATTGATAAAATTGATAACAGTAAAATCTTTTGGTCATCACTAAAGCGTTTGTCCATCAGGTCTGTTGTGTCTAGACATACTGTTTGTATGGATCGGTGGTTCAGTTACTTCAAAGACATATTCAGTTCTTTAGATAGTGTTGTCGATGATGATGAAAATACTACAAATGATAATTTTGATTCATTGTCTCAGACTATTCTTGATGTCCCTGTTCAACAACAAGAGATCATTGGCGCTATTGCTGGTTTGAAATTGGGTAAGTCTCCCGGTAATGATGGTCTGATGTCTGAAATGTTTAAAAGTGCACAGGATATCCTGATTCAATTTATGACTCTATTGTTTAATGTTATGTTTGATTCAGCTTACTTTCCTTCTAGTTGGTCTCACGAAGTGATAGTTCCCTTGCACAAGAAAGGTGATATGGACACGCCATCCAACTATAGAGGCATAACGATTTTGAGTATTTTCAGTAAAGCTTACATTTCCATTCTAAATACAAGATTACGGTTTCGGACCGAGGCGTATGATAAATTAGTTGAATCACAGGCAGGGTTTCGCACTGGTTACTCTACACCAGATAATATGTTTATCCTCCAGTCAATTGTTCAACGATACTTGGGTAAGAAAAGGGGTAAGATCCTTGTTTTATTTGTAGACTTCGCCAAAGCATTTGATAGTATTAACAGATCTAAACTATGGAATGTTGTAAATGAAAATAGAGTTTCACCTAAAATGTTTCATAGTATTCGGTCTATCTATAAATGTGTTTTTTCTTGTGTTAAATATGATAACCATTTATCAGAAAGTTTTGAATGTAAGCGTGGTGTCCGTCATGGATGTATCCGCAGTCCTTTTTTATTTAATTTATTCATAAATGACTTAGCAAAAGAAATTAAGTTTACCAGGAGTTCAGTTCCATCCAGGGTTGTTTCAGTTGTTTCTCTTGTTGTTTGCTGATGACATCACTCTTATTGCTGATGACATCACTCTTATTGCTGATACTGTCTACGGTTTACAGAAACGTATTAATTTTCTCAAAGATTATTGTAATAGGTATTCATTAACTGTAAATCTTGATAAAACAAAAAATGTTGTGTTTAAAAAGGGTGGCCTTTTGTCTAAACATGAAAAATGGTATTATGGAGATAGTCCTATAGAATGTCTATCTTCTGTTTTGTGCGTTAATATCACTAAGGAAGGTGAAACCTTATGATTATAATGTATTTTTTAGAATATTTGATGCTAAAGTGGCCCCGATTCTATTATATGGATTGGAAATTTGGGGAGTTGATAATTACAAGGAAATTGAATCTGTCCATTTGTTAGCCTGTAAGCAGTTTTTAGGTGTTAAAGCTTCCACATCAGACCATACTGACCGTGGTGAATGTGGACGGTATCTTTTATATATCTCAATTTATCAACGCTGCATTTCATATTGGTGTAATATTTTAAATATGCCCGGCCCGATTCACGTTACCCTAAAAGAGCTATAATATGTTGTTTCTTGAAGCCTCTAATCGTAGATGTAATTGGGTGTCTTAAACCAAGTTGCTCTTGTATAAATTTGGGTTTGGTTATGTTTGGGAAAATCAGGGTGCTGATTCCCCAAACTTGTTTATTACTGAATTTGTATCACGTCTAAAATGTATTTATGAACAGGATTGGCATTCAGCAATTTTCGGCAGCTCTAGAATGTATCATTATTCTTTATTTAAAATGTCATTTTGTGTTGAACCATATATATCTGCTGTAACTAATGGTAAATTGAGATCGGCAATAGCTCGTTTTCGTTGCAGTTCGCATTCCTTATATATTGAAACGGAAAGATATAACAATGTACCTAGAAACTTGAGGATTTGTAAATTATGTAATATTGGTTATGTTGAAAATGAGTACCACTTTTTGTTAATTTGCAAAGCCTATGATAATTTAAGACAACAATATATCCATGAAATGTTTTATGTCCATCCTACCCTGGATAAATTTAATATGTTAATGTCTGACTGTAACCAAACTACAATTCGAAATACCGCAATGTATTTGTATTATGCCTTTATCTACCATGTGTCAATAATTAATACTGTGGACAAACATATGTACCATGGGCCGTTAGCCTAAACACGTACGAAATAAAGAAAGAAACATCCAGCCCAATCAACACCAGAATGAAAGAGCAGAAAACCTCCACCATTAAATCCGACAGCAAATCAGAAATCTCGGACCATATCAGCAACTGTCCCAATCACAACCTCAAGTGGGACAACGTCCAAATCCTCACCAACAACCTCCATGATTTCACTAAAAGAAAACTAACAGAAGCAGTCCACATTCGCCGCCACAAGCCATCGATCAACAGAGATCAAGGCTATTTCATCCCATCCGCCTACTATGAACTCATCAAGCAATAATCACTTATCCTGTTTATTGGCTTCATGTCCCTATTGGCTTCCACCTATGTGTTCTCTGGCCATCGTGTTGTGACAGCATTATCCCTTTGTTGTCAACACCTACCAATGTTATCCCACTCATGTATGGAATTGTTGTAACTGTTAATCCTCCACCTACTATATATATTCTGTATTATGTCCCTCATTCAGTCTTGCTTGACAACGGTATAAGGATATCTATACCGAAACGTCGCTTTGCACAGTATTAAAGAAGTTGTTTTCCATAAAATTGTGTCTACCTTGTCAACCTACCCGGGATAAATCCCGTCTGATTATCGTGGCTTTAATCTTACATAAGGCACTCAAAGGAGAAAACTGTCTCCACTTCTGTAATAAACGTCTATCTTTGGTTTTGGGGATGCGTGTGATGATTCCTGTGTTCCCTTTTAGGGTCATCGAACTGTGTTTGGATGTATTATTGATACTGATCTTAACATTGATATTGCGATTAATTGAAATGTTGATATCCCGGGATCTAACTATAGATAATAATAGCAGTGGCTATATCGTTAATTCTCATTTTGTCATCTAGTTCTTCTGAAAGATTTTTATTAAAAGTTGGAATGGTAATGTTATTTAAACAATCTAAACCGAACGTTTAACATTTTCTGCTTCAATATCGTCTATCTTGTTGAAGAACCATCTGTTATTTCTTCACCTTTATCAGTAATAATAGTATTAATTAAGTTTCTTCATATAGTTCCTGTTTTCTAAGTGGCAAAAGAAATTAGTTGCTTTTTCATCTTCGTTATTCTACTGTATTCTATTACGGATTTGAATTCGTCTCATTTCTTCTTTGATTTTTGTTCTGCTCGTTTGGATAACAATGTTTCGCTAACGTTTTGAAAAATGTTTCTTACTTGTTCTGCTAATTCCATGTTATTTTCTATTTCTTTATATTTTTCCCTTTAATCTTTGTTCAAGTATGAAGAATATGAAATACATTTTCCTCTTACTTTCATCACCAATGTCTCCAAGAATAGCGAATCAGTAATTGTAAGATCGAAAGTTTCGTCAGAGATATTTTGATTATTTTTATTATCACATTTAGGATCTGCTTATTCAACTTCATTTTCGTCTCAAATACCATAATATATTCATATTTTCTTTGTAATGATGTATTGAACCTTTTATCTTTTCTTAAGTTTTGTTGATTTGATAACTACAATGTAAGGGCGGAATTATCAGTTTTGTAGCCAGGTATGAATGATTAATGAACAGTGAGATTAAAATCCTGGTATCTCTCTTGTTGGCAGGGATTGTTTTTCCACAAAGTAAACGCATTTAGTTATCTCCATGCATCTTTTAGATTTAATGATTCAATTTTATCTAATATGAGTTAAATTGAGTTGAGTTTAGGCTGTGTGCTCAGTAATGTCTATTAATATTATATAAAACTGTCTATAGATAAGAAAATGTCCGATATTACCCTGTGGTACAAATTTAGTGTCTTCCAGCAGTCTGACATTCTATAGCTTTGACATCAAGAGAAATTTGTTTCTTTAACCTTTTCATGAAAGACCAATGTTATGTAAATGCTGTTTTAAATTGTTCTTCAAAACATATTGAAGATATCGATTAGACACAATGACAATTGTTTTTCGTAACTGAGCATGTCCAAGACATTCTCATGAAATTCGTCTAAACTGAGAGCCGTTGTATTATCAATATGTTCATCACTTTTAAAATATTACAGAAAAACCGTAGAAAACATTAGTTGAATTGTGTGTTAAATAAATATTTAAGCAAACGCAGTAAATCATGTCAACCAGTTTCAAGTTTGTCTTTTACAGCAGGAATAGTAGAGTGTTGTTGTAACGCTTACCTTTTATAGTTTGACTCAAACAGAATAAAAGTCACTTTGGTGTTTCTTCGAACGTGGTTGAAGTTATCAACATGATTCGCCAACTGAGAGGAGAATTTTAAACGAAGCGACAAAACCCGTTGCGTAGCCAATAGAAATCTCTGCATAAAGGAGAGTCGATGTTCGATTCTGACTTTATCATAAGCATATAATTAAATTTTCGTTGTGTTCATTGAAATTCCTGTATTCTGATTAGCTGAATTGGTCACGTGTTATTGCATTCATTTTCTAATGAATGTAAAAAATTAAGCCACGCCCACCGAGCGCACTACTTTTATTACTTCGGAATTTCGGGGAATCCCAATATTACAGACGAGGGAATTCCCTTTCTGCTCACGTGTATCGTCATGCACAGGACATTTAGCGACTTTCATGCATATTCATTGTCCAAACAAACCTTTGAAACCGAAGGCCGAGAATGAATGAAACAGCAAACGTGCAGGCTCGCTCGCCTGTTTTGTTTCTGCTCGCCTCGGTTCAACTTTCATGTCTTCGGGTTTCATTTCTAACTAGTATTTTTCCAACTGTGTTTTACCGTAATCAGGGAAGTAATGTTTGAATCTGGCGGTAACTGACCATGTAATTTGAAACAGCCGCCTTCTCCCGGACATATTTCTATCGGTTCGTTAGAGTCTGACTGTTGCAGTTCTTTTCGCCTCTTGTCTTAATTAACAGGTCCAATGAACATTGTTTTGATCCTGCTCTCCGTTGATTTGCTGCTGACTGTGTAGGCGTGTCAAGTTATGTGCATAAATTAAACGATCACCCCACAGTATGTATTCCTACACCTCGAATGTTAATCAATCTCGTCATTTTTGTCTGTTTTGATATATACAACTGTTTTTGGTTAAACTATTGTAGACAAAACATGTTTTATGTTGTCGAATTTAATTATAATCATTGACTGTATATTTGTTTCGGTTTATTGAGGTATGAATTCATACAGTTTGCACACTGGTTTTTCGATTCATACCTCAATGAACCGAAAAAAATACACAGTCAATCCTTAAGTGAAAAGTAACTGCTTTTGTCCTCGCAGCACATGTGTAACCATTTAATGATCGACTGAAGTTGCCAACAATACCCAACATATATTTCGTCATATATTTCATTGATAATATCTTTGTTTTACCATGGCTTTGTGATACAAATATGTTAGTAGTTATTACGCTCTTCGTACATGACAGGGTTTTAGGAAATATAGACGCATTCCTTTTACTAGTCTCAATATGGCTGAAATATTGCTGACGTGACGTAAAATGTAACTCACTCACAAAGCGTTAGACGTACATGTTCATACTCTAATGAGGAATCCTTCGAGATGTGCACGAGTCTCCCTCCATTCGGATTGTACACGAATGGCGTGCAAATGTCACGTTAGTGTTACAAGCTACTCACTACCTCTTTTCCGATGATATAGACGTATGACCTGATGTTACGGTCGTCCATGAAGATGTGGAAACGGTGGCGCAGGTAGTCTATCCCCATGTACACGTCCCCAATGTCCATGACGCCGTCGAAGTCATGAACTGTGGCTCGCCGTATGTTATAGTCAGACATGGTTACTTCTACAAAGAGACTGAGACAGGAAACATGGAAATGAGGTTGCAAAGACACAGTGAGTTAGGAAGGGACGGGGCTGGGACTTGGAAATCAATGACACAGTGCGGGGGAAGTTAAGATAAAACAATACAGTGATACACCGACCTGGAAAATGCATTGTAAAGTAGTGAGTGAGTGACTTGTGTTTAACGCCGCTTGTTACCTTATTCCAGTTATGTCACGGCGTTTCAGCTTATGTGGGAGGTAAGGCCCAAGTGAAACCCATCGGCACGGGTATGGTGCTGACAAACCTAGAAATATAATCGGCGCGAACCGGGATTCGAAGCCACAATCATCGGTTTATGGCGTGTTCCTCGCAACTCTGCACAGCGACTTGCGGCGCCTTAGACAACTGGGCCACCCGTGCCCCCTTATTGATGTTTCGGCTTCATATAAAGCGTTGAGTATCATATTGATGTTCGTGCTGCGTTCTGACGTCGAACCTAACCCAGGACCTGAAACACGTAACAGTACAACAAGAACGAAACAGCTCAAGTTGTCAACGGGTCAGGAATGTGAAACTTCAGACTTTGAAAAGCTTCTATCCGAGATAAAATATGTATCTGTCAAAGTCGATAAATGCCAGGCAGATTTAACAACTAAACTTACGACAATGTCCGAGTCAATTAACTCTCCTACTAGCAACGTTAACGCCCTGTCTGCGAGATGTAACACACTCGAGGAAGAAAACGGTACTCTAAAATCAACACTGTCTTCAGTTACAGACAAACTGGACTATATAGAAAACCAAAGCCGTAGAAATAATCTGCTATTCCACGGTGTTGTGAAAGAGAAACAATCAGAGACATGGACAGATTGTGAAGATATAGTACGTAAAATCATTAAGGACAATCTGGAAATAGATGATTCAGATATGGCAATTGAACGTTGTCATAGATTGAATAACAGTAAATCTCTCATTGTCAAATTTAGAGACTATGGTACGAAAGAGTCTATCCTTAGAAATGCTAAACGACTCAAAGGTACTTCATACAGTATTTCGGAAGACTATTTATTCATTAAACGTTGGAAATAAGCGCAAAATGTTAAAAACAATAATGGATGATTCAAAGGCAATTGGTGAGAAATGTAAGCTTAAATTTGATAAACAGATTTTTGAAAATGGAAAGGTTCTCAAATATGGCCTTGAAAATGAAAGGCCAGTTGAGATTAATAGAACGGTAACCAGCGCAGGTCGCGGCCGCGGCCGTTCCGCGTTTCGTTCACGTGGAGGTCATGGTTGGGGCGGACCCGCACGTGGCGCTTACAGCTAGGATCTCGGTCGGGCCGTGGATTGTAACGGTAAAACAAGAGACTTTTCGTTCATGTCATGGAACGTTAACGGTTTGAATCGCAAGTTGAAGAACAATTCCTTCGTTGAGTTTTGCTCTTCATTTGCATTGTGTTGTTTAACAGAAATTTGGAGCAACTGTTCTGAAGAAGATATGAAACAAAGCTTCCCCAATCACAATATTATGATAAACTTTCGTGAATGCAATACCAGAGGTGGTGTCGCTCTTTTCGTCACATATGAACTTCTTAAAGGCGTTAAACATGTTGATTTAACTTGTACCGACTGTATATTTATTATACTTGATCACGTATTTTTTGGTTTACCACGTGATACTTTACTTTTGTTTTCTTACGTACATCCTGAAACTACGTCAACAAAGACTGATGTCCATGATGTTAGAGGTATTGATTATCTTGAGCAATGTTTACTTAAGAAACTTTGTAAATTTGAAGATCTTTCCATTATACTTGCAGGAGATTTAAATGCAAGAACTGGCATTTTGCAAGGTTTTATTACATCTGACGATGATGAGAGTGAAAAATATATCTCAACATTAAATGAAATGGAGAATTCAGGTGATACATTCAATACTCCGAGGTTCTCTCAAGACGCTGTTATTAATGAATATGGTAAAGATCTTATCAGTCTATGCTCTACATTTGATATGCATATTCTTAACGGTCGTTTTCCAGGAGATAGAAATGGCTCTTTTACCTGTTTTGCCAATAACGGTGCTAGTTTAGTTGATTATATTGTCTGTTCAACGGCATTGTTCGGTTCTATTGAGGATTTTTGTGTTCATACACGTGCTGAGTCTGATCATTTTCCTATAACATGTTCCTTAGTTGGTGACTCTCCATCACTTCAACATTCAGAATCAGAGACTATACCAAGCAAGTTTGATAAATATGTCTGGAAGGAATCTCGGGCAGCAGATTTTATTGATACATTGAATGTGAATATTCAAAAATAGATGTAGACTTTTTTAGTTCTCTTTGTAATCATGACACTTCAGAGGCAGCAGAACTGTTATCTACTGCCATTCAGCAGTGTGCAGGTGAAAATAATATGAAACTAAAATGTCGAACTTCGAATGTGTGCACAAATGAAGCTTTGTATGATGACGAATGTCACTCATTAAAAACTGAGACGTATATGTACCTTGATGAGTTTAGATTGTCAGGAAATCTTGATTTTTGCATAGTTTTAGACGTACAAGAGTGAGTGAGTAGAGAGGTTTGTCGTTCTTAATCATCCGTCTATGCAAATACACTTGCTGTAGATATTGTCAGCTCTAGTAAGCAAAATCCCAAAGCTTTTTGGTCTTATGTAAAGTCCATTATTAGAAATCCCAGTAATAAACGCCAAGGCGATATAAGCAGTAAAGCATGGATTGAATACTTTACTCAGGTGCTCAATATTCAAGACAATGTTACAGATACATAATTCATGCCTTTTGTCAGTAGTTATATTGATGATATAGATAATTTGGAAATTGGTGAGGGTATAAATGACATGATAAACCAGCCCATAACTGAAGAGGAGATTGTCTTTGCTATTTCATCTTTAAAAAATAATAAAGCACCTGGCCCTGACGGCATTCCCCTGATGTCTACAAATGCGGTTGGAGTATTTTGTTACCTTACCTTAAGATTTTGTTCAATTTCATATTTACAAAGGGACATATCCTCCACAGTGGTCAAAGAGTATTATATTTCCTTTACATAAGAAAGGAAGTACAAGTGATGTTAATAATTATAGAGGCATTTCTTTGATGGACATATGTGGGAAAATATTTACTTTTATCCTTAACAAAAGACTCAACGATCTTGTATGTTTTTATTACCAGAGTGTCAGGCGGGTTTTCGCAAAGGATATTTGTAGTACAGTTGATAATGTTTTTCGTCTACAGTGCCTAATCCAAAAAAACTTGTCTGAATCAAAAGGTTGATTTTATTGTATATATGTTGATTTTCAAAAGGCTTTTGATTCGGTGAATAGAGATTTGCTATGGTGTGTTTTATCTACAAATTGTATCAATGGAAAGATGTTAAATATGATACATGATATTTATGCAAAAACAATTTCTTGTGTGAAACTTGATAACTTTTCTTTATCAGATTATTTCGAATGTCTTTGTGGAGTTAGACAAGGTTGCGTTTTGAGTCCTCTTTTTTTCTATGTTTATCAAGCAATTGGAAGACTCATTACAGACGTATGGTGGTAGAGGTATATTTGTCAGAGAAGATTTTAATGATCTGTTTTCATTGCTGTATGCTGATGATCAATGTATATTTGATGACTCAGTTATTGGTTTGCAAAGAAAAAATAATATCGTATCTTCTTTTTTGTAAAAAATGGGGTTTGAAAGTTAACTTTGATAAAACTGAAATATTAGTTGACCGAAATGATGGAAAACTTAAAAATGCTGAAAATGGTTTTATGATGATGTACATATAAAGATAGGAACATATTATAGTTATTTAGGTGTTGTATTTTCAAACCGATTATCATGGTCAAAATGTTTGCAAACTTTAGTCCAGAAAGCTAATAAAGTTCTCATTCCCGTTAAGCAATTACACATTAAACTTAACTCCCTTCCTTTACCAATATTGTTTCAAATGTTTGATACACAAATAAAACCAATATTATGTTACTGTTCAGAAATCTGGGGAACCCACAATTGGAATGTTTTAGAAGCCATACCAACTACATTTTGTAAATATTTACTTGGTGCCGGGAAATCTTGTACAAATGTTGCTATTTTGGGTGAATGAGGACGCTATAAATTGTATTGTGAGACTTATGAACATTGTTTCAAATATTGGTGTAAACTAACCACTATGTCAAATGAAAGATATCCTAGACAATGTTATAACATGATATATAGATTAGATCAAGTAGGAAGAGTTACATGGGCTACTAACTCTGAGAATATTTTCTCTTCATATGGTTTTGGTTTTGTATGGGAAAATCAATCTGTTGGTCACACTGATTTATTATATGTGAGTTTTCACAAAGAGTTAAAGCTTGTTATATACGAACATGGCATTCGCAAGTTAATGATCACTCAAAACAGCATTTGTAATTCAACCGTATATTTTTAAAATCACTTGTCAAGAACTAAGAAGAATGTTATCACTATTAAGAATTGGAGAATTAAATATCATGGTGAATATTGGAAGCAAAAGCAATATTGATATAAATTTTAGATTATGTCCTTTTTGTAAGAACATCACTGAAACTGAATTACATTTTATGCTATCATGTCCATTATATGATGATATCAGACAGAAACACATTCCAAATATATATTGTAAATCTCAGTTATTTAAGCATATAAGCTCAGGCAAACTCACTGATTTATTTCAATACTGTAAATATATTAAAGAGGCTATTGTATTACGTTCATCCCATTTGTAATACTTGTTTAATGCTGCACCAATATGTATATTCTATATGTCAATATATATTTGTACATGGGCCTGTGGCCTTTATACTGAATAAAGAAATTGAATTGAATTATTGTAAAGTAGTGACAACAGAACGTCAGTTAAGGATTTAAGATGATGACGAAGGTTCACAAGAACATGCCAGTGGCACCAATTTACTTTCCAGTTTCAGCTACAATTCAGAAACAACACAGTTACAACGCATGAGCCGA